GAATTCAGTGGGAAGTTCTGTGAAGGTTATCCCAATTCCCCTCGGTTACAGCCACGTGGTAGGAAGGAATGTGAGAAGAATAGTACATAGTCAGTCATGGCTAGGAGGAAGTAACTGTAGTATAGACACGCAAACCAAGGGACTGAGTAGTTGGAAGGAGAACAGCACATCAAAACCACGACGCGAAGTAGCTAGACTTCCTGCAATCCCACCAGCGTGCATTCGTTCGTTTCGCTCGTTCGTTCGTTTGTCGGTTCATTCGCGCGTTAGACCGCCTCCCATCGCCCATTTGCGCGGTACTGTGTTTGCATCTGCTCTTGCGCATCGTTGATTGACCCGGTAGCACCAGCTGCTGCTTGCCGACTCGTCGCACATTGTTCACACTTTTTTCGCCCATTATTTGCGCGTGCTCGCACATTGTTCGACGTTTCCCTAGTCGCGCGCTTATCAAAATGGACAGACCAATCGATGGAAAGCTGCCAGCTTCTTAACCGCGTGTCGTGTCGCGTTGTTCGCCTTTGGATCGCCCTTCGCGTCGCGCTTGGCCAACGGATCAACCGTTGACGGAGGCTCCGCGTCTCTGCGAGTTACTGCGGTTCTCCCTCTCCCTCCCTCCCCCTCCCCTTCACCCCTCCCCCTCCCCCCTGCCCTCCCTCTCAACCATCCCCGCGAATTACGGAGCCATCATGAGCGAGTCGGCGGTTCTTCCGCGGGACGCCCATCCCTCCCCCACCTGCATGCCGCGCCTCTCCTGCATTTCGCCCAGTTCCGCTTCCGCCAAGCATGCTGCCTCCGCCGCCGCTCCGGAAACGGGCGGGGGGGAACAGGGGACAAGCGCGGAAGCGCAGCGCGCGTGCCGCGTGAGCGTGGCGGTTCTGGCGGTGAAAGACTTGAAATTGGGGGCGATAAAGGACGTAACTGACGCGGCGCGGCAGGCTGCGAGTCTCCTGCAAGTGCCGACTATGGCGCTGATTAAAGTGGAAAACTTGCACTTTTGCACCAAGGAGATCAAGGGGAAGTCGGCGGAGGGTAAGGGGAAGGCGGGGGAGAAGGGGGGGAAAAAGGCCAAGGGGGAGGATGGAAAAGGGGGAACGGCGGATGGGGAAGCCCAAGCGGAAGCGCAAGCGGGAGCGCAAGCGGAAGCGCAGGGGGGAGCGCTTTCGGGGGAAGCGCAAGCCGCGGAAGGGCAGGCGGAAGGGGTGATAGAAGTCAACCAGGGGCACGGGTTCACAGTGAAAGACGAAGCCACCGCCACCGTGTCCGTCGCGCTCGTGCACTGCGCGCTGGGGCGCGGCGCGGTGGCCATTGGGCTGAAGCAGGTCGTAGGCGCGATCGAGCCGCTCTCCGTCGCGTCGCTGCTCGAGCTCGATCCGGATAAGGCGGTCGAGCCGCGGTGGCACGACCTGCGCGCGCCGACGGGGAAGAAGGGCGCGGTCGTGGGGCGCGTTCTGCTGCAGGCGGTGGCGGCGCGCGCGCCGCCCGAGCAGCGCGTGTCGCTTTTCATCGGCTCCTGGAACGTGGGGAACGCGCCGCCCGCGGCGGATCTCTCCCCGTGGCTCCCCGTGGGCGGCAAACACGATCTGATCGCGATCGGATCGCAGGAGTGCGAGTACCCGCCGCGACCAGGGCACGCCACGTGTATGGACGACTGGGTGGCATGCATCCGGACGCATTTCGGCCCTAGATACCGCCTTGTAAAGGGCGCTTCGAGAGGGCAGATGCGCCTCGTTGTCCTTGTTCTAGACTCCTCCCAGCGAGCCGTTTCAGAGGTTGTGGTAACCAGCGAAGCGACGGGAATCGGGCATGTCATCGCAAACAAAGGCGCCGTATGCGTGTCTCTAAGATTCTGGGACACGCCTCTGTGTTTTATTAACTCGCATCTGGCGGCGCACGAGGGGCAATGCGGGGCAAGGAATGATAATTACAGAGAAGTGGTGCAGAATATGAGACCGGGGCTTTCAAGTGTTGACCTCTTGAACCAGTTCCACCATCTGTTTTGGATGGGCGATTTGAATTACCGGTTAACGCTGCTAGATTCCTCCCACCCGCCTGCTGCTGCTGCTGCTGGGTTGTCGGGGCCTTTGCCTTCTGTGGTCTCTTTTCCGGCCTCTGCTGCTGCTGCCGCTGGTGCAGCGGGTGCTGCTGCAGGTGCTGCCGGTGCTGCTGTTGCCGCTGGTGCTGGCGCTGCTGCTGGTGCCGTTGCTGCCGGCGCTGGTGCTGCGGCTGGTGCTGTTGCTGCTGGCGCCGGCGCTGCTGTTGCCGCTGCTGCTGCGTCTTACCGTGCCATTGCTGCTGCTGCTTCCGGTGCTGCCGGTTCTGCTTCGCGTGCCGGGCCTGCTTTCAGCGGGAGAGCTCTCGACCAATTAGACGATGACAGCTCAGACGACGAAGCCGAAGATTCCAGCAGTGGTAATGACGACGACGAGGCTGGGGTAGAGGCTCGGGATGTTCCGAAGGCTCGGGAGGCACAGGAGGCTCGGGAGGCCGACGGTTTTGATGCCGAACCTCGGAAGGAGGCTCGGAAGAGGGGCAGCATCGGTAGCTCAGGGGAGATGCTGAAAGGGTTTTTTAAGTCAACAAAGGGCAGCTTCAACACGATTCTCGATCTGGGCAGCTCGAAAAAACACGCTTCTTCTCCGGGCAGCAGCACAAAAGTGAACGGAAAACTGCCTCCCCCAAACAGCCCCAACGGCAACAGCGGGAACATGAACGGGAGAGGGGGAGAGAAGACGGGCGCGATTGGCTTGGTTAAGAGCTCGAGTGGGGATGACGTGGCAGGCGGTGATGCGATTGGTGCAAGCTTCCGGGGCTCCCCAGGCGGGGGGGAGGCGGGCGTGGAGGCGGGGGCGGGGGCGGGGGAAAGGGGGAATGAAACGGGGGAGCGCGGGGCTGAGGAGGGGGAAGTGGTTGGAGAGGAGAGGAACGGTGCGGGAGGGGAGGGGTTGACAGAAGAAGGGGGGGCGCGGACACCTGGGGAAGGGGGGGCGCGGACACCTGGGGAAGGGGGGGCGCGGACACCTGGGGAAGTGGGGGCGCGGACGCCTGGGGAAGGGGGGGCGACGCCGGAAGCGGGGGAAGGAGGGGAGTTGACCCCGAGAGAGGGGCACAAGCGCGTGCTGAGTGCGGGAAGCCTCGCTTTGTTCCGCGGAGGGGGAGGGGGAGGGGGAGGGGGGAGTCACGAGAAGGTTGGCAAGGCGGCCTCTGCACCAACGCTGACGTCGAAGAAATCACTGGAGAAACAAGCGTGAGTGGTGGGGGTTGTGGGTGAGGGATGGGCAAAGGAGGGAAAAACAAGCGTGAGTGGTGGGGGTTGGGAGGGGGGTGGGGCTGAGTTGGGGGAGCGAAGGGGAAGAGGAGGGCAAGGGGAAGTGACTGGGTCTCCCTGTGGGTGGGCATCTGGACTGCACTGTTGCTGACGCCAAAGAAATCACCAACGGGGGAGCCATTGGGAGGAACAAGCGTGAGTGTGCAGGTGGAGGGATGGGTAGAGAGTGGGGAGGGGAGGGCAAAGGGGCACAAGCGAGTGCAGGAGAGCAGTGGTGCATGCAAGCACAATGAAGCAGATTTGCAACAGGGAGTTTGAAGCAACAGCTCCTTTTTCTGTTGTCTCCCACACCCAACACCCCACACCCAACACCTTCCCCCGCCCACCTGCTTTCCTCCACCCACCACCACCTGTGGAGGCGAGCAGCGGTGCATGAGAGCACATTGGAGCAGATTTGCAACCGGGAGTTACTCGCTCTTCACCCTTTTCTCTGGCACTCTTCTTCCGCCCACCCCTTCCCCCCACCCCTTCCCCCCACCCCTTCCGCCCACCCCTTCCCCCCGTCCCCCCTGACCCTTACTCTCCACCAACCACCTGTGCAGGCGAGCAGTGGTGCATGAGAGCACGTTGGAGCAGATTCGGTTCTGACTCTCTGCAACCTTCCCTCCGACCGCCCACCCGTCTTTTACTCAACCCATTCCCTCCGCCTACCCCCATCCCTGCACCCACCACCTGTGCAGGCGGGCGGCGGTGCATGAGAGCACGTTGGAGCAAATCCGCAACCGGGAGTTTGACGCTCTACTGGAGTACGACGAGGTATGGAGCGTTGCAGTGCGGTACGCTCACATGCCTCCCCACCACGCTCAACTCACATGCCTTCCCACCTGACTTACCAGCGGCATCACATCACATGCCCTCTCACCTCACCTCTTTAATAAAGAGGTGCGCCACATGACATCAAATTTCTCTCATGTGCCGCAGTCCCTTACCTCCTACCTCACCTGTTTATTATCCCATATTTACAATCCCTCCTCACTACCTCCTACCTCCCTAACTCACTTGCAGCGGGAGAGTCGGGAGGGCCGAGTCCTTCACGAATTCCACGAAGCTCCCATCACCTTCGCCCCTGGATGCCCCAAGTTTTGAGTCGACTCAAACCTTCGCCCCTGGATGCCCCTCTCTTCATTGCTGCACCCCCTCCAACTTCTCGACACCTCGCCTGCCCCCCCTCGTCTCTCTACATGTCTGCAGTTGAAGCGGGGTTATTCGGGAGGGCCGAGTCTTCTACGAATTCCACGAAGCTCCCATCACCTGCCCTGCCCCTGATGACTTTTAGGTCGACTCAAAAGTCACCTCGACGCTCCCATCACCTGCCGCTGAATGCCCGGCTCTCTTTATTGTTCTGCATCCCCCTCAACCTCTCGACCTCCCCCCCCCCCCCCCCCCCCCCCCCTTCTCTCTGCATGCCTGCAGCTTCAGAGGGAGATTCGGGAGGGCCGAGTTTTCTACAAGTTTCAAGAAGCACCCATCACCTTCGCCCCCACCTTCAAGGCAAGCCGTTGTGTTTTGCTGCAACCTCCCCTGCGTGGGTCCTGCCTTTCTTGGTTCCAGATTCCGCGCATACAAGCATGCAGAACTGAATCAAGTCCTGTTGTTTCAGTCAATGACTCCTCTTACGGGTTGGATGGAGGGTGCTATCAAATTAAACGGTGCTGGTTATTAGGAGCCTAGAAGAATGAAACCAAGTTGTCTTGAATTAGTGAATCCTCTTACCGGTTGCTCTGCTTGTACAATCTATCCCACCCTCTTGCGCACGTTCACCTCTCCTACTACCAGCATGGTGCGACCGCATTCTCTAACCGCAACCCCCTGCCTTTCCCCTCCGCATTCTCTACAGGTCATCCGCAACGAGGTGGGCAAGTACAACAGCAAGCGGTTACCAGCGTGGTGCGACCGCACTCCCCCAAACTTCCCTGCACCTCTCACCTCCACCACCCTCCCCTTCTCTCCTCCATGATAGGTCATCCGCAACGAGGTGGGGAAATACAACAGCAAGCGCCTACCAGCGTGGTGCGACCGCATCCTCTGGCGCTCGCTGCCTGGCTGCCACCCTGCTGCTCCTTTCCCCCAACCTCTCCCCCTTCTCTGCACTCCCTTTGGCTTTCCCTCTTGCCGACTTCCACCCCCCATCAGGTGATTAGAAACGAGGTGGGGAAGTACAACAGCAAGCGGTTACCAGCGTGGTGCGACCGCATCCTCTGGCGCTCGCTTCCCGGCTGCCAGCTGGCTTGCACTCGCTACGACGCCGCGCATGATGTGGGGAGCAGGTGGGCCTGCGGGTGGGGAGCAGGTGGGGTGCGGTAAGTAGGGGATGGTGCTACTGAGTGATTCTATAGGTGCTGCCAGCTATTGTGCGACCGCATCCTCTGGCGCTCCCTGCCCGGCTGCCAGCTCGCATGCACTCGCTACGACGCAGCTCACGACGTGGGGAGCAGGTGGGAGGAGAGGGGAGGGGAGGTAGGGAGGGAGGGGAGGGAGGGGAAGGTATTGCGCTCGCTGCCCGGCTGCCAGCTCGCGTGCACGCGCTACGACGCCGCGCACGACGTGGGGAGCAGGTGGGGTGGGGTGGGGGTGGGGGAAGGTGGGGGTGTGGGGAGGTTGGGGTGGGGGAGGTAAGGGAGGGAAGGTAAGGGTGTGAGAGGTATTGCGCTCGCTGCCCGGCTGCCAGCTGGCTTGCACGCGCTACGACGCCGCGCATGACGTGGGGAGCAGGTGCGGTGGGGTGGGGCGGGGATGTAGGGGGGGGATGTGTGGGGAGCAGGTGGGGTGGGGGGAGGTAGGGGAAGGTAAGGGTATGACAGATATTGCACTCCCTGCTTGCCCGGCTGCCAGCTCGCGTGCACTTGCCACGATGCCGCTCACGACGTGGGGAGCAGGTGGGGAGCAGGTGGGGAGCAGGTGGGGAGCAGGTGGGGAGCAGGTGGGGAGCAGGGAAGGCAGGAAAAGTGTGGTAGAGTTGTGACTCGCAGGTAATGGTATGACAGGTATTGTGCTCGCTGCCCGGCTGCCAGCTCGCGTGCACTCGCTACGACGCCGCTCACTCAACGTGGGGAGCAGAGCAGGTGGGTGAAAGGGCGGGTGTGAGATGCAGGTAGCAAAGGTGTGGTTGCCATGTCATGGTGCTGCCAGCTGGCTTGCACGCGCTATGACGCTGTGGATGACGTGGGGAGCAGGTGGTGGTGGTGGTGGGGGGGGGGGAAGGTAGGGGAAGGTAAGGGTATGACAGGTATTACGCTCTCACAGGTATTACGCTCTCTGCTGACAGGTATTACGCTCTCTGCTGACAGGTACTACGCTCTCTGCTGACAGGTACTACGCTCTCTGCTGACAGGTATTACGCTCTCTGCTGACAGGTACTACGCTCTCTGCTGACAGGTACTACGCTCTCTGCTGACAGGTATTACGCTCTCTGCTGACAGGTACTACGCTCTCTGCTGACAGGTATTACGCTCTCTGCTGACAGGTATTACGCTCTCTGCTGACAGGTACTACGCTCTCTGCTGACAGGTATTACGCTCTCTGCTGACAGGTACTACGCTCTCTGCTGACAGGTATTACGCTCTCTGCTGACAGGTACTACGCTCTCTGCTGACAGGTATTTGCCTGCGTGGCTGCCAGCTCGCATGCACGTGATACGGTATGACAGGTATGCCGCGCACGGCGTGGGGAGCAGGTGCGGGTAACTCCAAAGTGAGAATGTGATTGTACGGGTGGTGTGACTACAACGGTGTTGCCTCCGTTCCGCGTTGCTTTCGCGTTTTCCCCCTTTTCCCCCCTCGCCACAGCGACCACAAGCCAGTGTTGGCAAAGTTTGAGCCCACCACTCACGCCGTGCCAGTGGGGTTTGACCCCGCTGATGCCCCCCCACTTACCACTTCCATTAAACCGCACTACACCTCCTCTCACTCCTCACTCACTCCCTCCTCCCTCCCCCGTGCTCCTCCCAGCGACCACAAGCCAGTGCTGGCAGAGTTTGAGCTCACCACTCACGCCCTGCCAGTGGGGTTAGACCCTGCTGATGCAGCACTGGTGGCTCGCAGGCTGCATCCCAACCAAACGCACTCCACCCTCTCCCACCCCCTCCTATCCCTTCTACCCCCTCTCTACCCCAACCCAGCGACCACAAGCCAGTGCTGGCGGAATTCGAGCTCACCACTCACGCCCTGCCGGTCGGATTAGACCCCTCTGATGCAGCACTGGTGGCGGGGGAGGGGCCGGTTGCGGCGGGGGCAGTGGGAATGGTGGCTCGGAAGCTGCATTCGAACCGCATTCCGCTCCCTCTCACTCCATTTCACTCCCTCTTGCTCCCTTTCCCCCTTGTCACAGCGACCACAAGCCAGTGCTGGCAGAATTTGAGCTCACCACTCACGCCCTGCCAGTGGGGTTAGACCCCGCTGATGCAGCTCTGGTGGCGGGGGAGGGGGCAGTGGGGACGGTGGGGGCGGTTGCCCGCAGGTTACAGCGCAGCGCCTCGTCCCGGCACTCGGGAGACATGCGGTGGCACGTGCAGGTGGGTGGGAGGGGGGTAAGGTGAGAGGTAAGGGGTGGCATGTGCAGGTGGGTGGGGGCGGTGGCGCGCAGGCTGCAGCGCGGTGCCTCCTCCCGGCACTCTGGGTACATGCGCTGGCATTTGCAGGTGTGTGGGAGAGGGGGATGGGAATGGAGGGGCATGGGAATGGGTGAGTAGGGGGACATGTAGGCTGCAGCGCAGTGCTTCCTCCCGGCACTCGGGAGACATGCGGTGGCATGTGCAGGTGGGGCGGCGGGGGTGGGTTGTTGCATGTGGATGGGGATGGGAGTTGATGGGAGTTGGGATGGGAGGTGGGAGTTGGGATGGGGATGGGAGTTGGGATGGGGATGGGAGTTGGGATGGGGATGGGAGGTGGTGGCACGTGCACAGGTGGGTGTGGCAGCAGCGCAGTGGGTGGTGGTGGCACGTGCAGTGCAGGTGGGTGTGGCAGCAGCGCAACAGTCCAGGGAAATACATGCGGTGGCACGTGCAGGTGGGGATGGGGGTGGCGGGTTGGGGTTGGGGATGGGATGGGCTCGGGAATGGGTATGGGGGCATGCTGTAGGCACGGGGCGGTGGCGTGCATGCTGAAGGGTGTTTTGGAGAATTGAAATCACTATTGAGAATTCTCAAAAACACCCTCTGGGGCGGTGGTGTGAATGCTGCAGCGCAAAGATTCGTCCCGACATGCGGAGGACGTGTGCTGGCATGGCATGTGCTTTGAGGCGCCTCACAATACACCTCAATGGTGCGCATGCCGCAGTGCAGCGCAGTGCAGCGCAGCGCAGTGCAGCGCAGTGCAGCGCAGCGCAGTGCAGTGCAGTGCAGTGCAGTGCAGTGCAGCGCAGTGCAGCGCAGTGCAGCGCAGTGCAGTGCAGTGCAGTGCAGTGCAGTGCAGTGCAGTGCAGTGCAGTGCAGTGCAGTGCAGTGCCTCGTCCTGCCTTACACGAGCTGGTTTTTGAGAACAATTCTGAGAGTTGAAATCGCTTTTGAGAATTCTCAAAATGCAGCGCAGTGATTCTTCCCGACTCGAGGGGGACGTGTGCTGGCATGTGCAGGTGGGAGTGGGGGGTGGCACTCCCATATGAACTCCTGCGCCCCTATGCGTCACTACTCCATACCACTCCTCACCACTCCTAACCGTCTCCTTGCAGTTTGCGTCCCTCACGGCCACTCATCTCCTGCCTCTCCTCTGTCCCCGTCCACCTCACCACCCCTCACCACTCCTCACCACTCCATTCCTTTCAGTTTGCATCCCCATCGGCTCTGACCTCCTGTCACTCCATTATAACCCCTCTCTCCTCACCACGCACCACTCCCCACCTCTGTCCACCTCTCACCACCACTCCTCACCCCTCTCTTCGCAGTTCTCATCCCTCATGGGCTCTGATCTCCTCTCAGCTGACGCAAATGGCCTTTCCGACCCGTGAGTCTCCCTCACCCCTCTCAATCCCTGTGAATCCCTTTGAATCCCTGAGAATGCGTGTGAACCCCTGTGGATGCGTTAAAACTCCTCCTGCGGGTCTTGATCACCTCTTTCGCTTCCTGCACGTCGGGCAGGAAGGCACGTGCATCATTCCCTTCCTGCCCCACGTGCCTCACTGCGCCCACCCTACTCTTCTCCTATATCTCCTACTCCACTGTCCCCCTGCTCCCCCCTCCTCCCGTTTCCTTGCCATTCCTCCATTCCCTATCTCCCTCTCTTTCCCCCCTTTCCAGCTACGTGCGATTCACAGGTCCCAACCTGCTGCACAGCACTCACACCAAGCCGCGCTACAAGACGCTTAACCCCGTGTGGACTCCGGAGGTGGGTGAGAGTGAGTGTGAAAGTAATTGACTAAGTGTGTTTGTGTGTGCAAAGGTGCCAGGCTTTAGGAGTTCCCATTGCAGCACAGCACTCACACCAAGCCGCGCTACAAGACACTCAACCCCGTGCGGACCCCCGAGGTGCGCGAGAGATTGCTAGTGAGTATGAGTGTGCGAGGCCGCTTGTATGAGTGCACTGCAGCACAGCACTCACACCAAGCCGCGCTACAAGACGCTTAACCCCGTGTGGACGGCCGAGGTGGGTGCGAGAAATAATGTGAGTGTGATTGTGAGTGTGATTGTGAGTGTGATTGTGAGTGTGATTGTGAGTGTGATTGTGAGTGTGATTGTGAGTGTGATTGTGAGTGTGATTGTGAGTGTGATTGTGAGTGTGATTGTGAGTGTGATTGTGAGTGTGATTGTGAGTGTGATTGTGAGTGTGATTGTGAGTGTGATTGTGAGTGTTATTGTGAGTGTGATTGTGAGTATTATTGTGAGTGTGTTGCATTGCAGCACAGCACTCACACCAAGCCGCGCTACAAGTCACTCAACCCCGTGTGGACTCCGGAGGTGAGTGAGAGAATGAATAAGTGCGTACTTGTGAGTTTGACTGAGCGTACGAGTGTGTGAGTTGATAGTGAGCAAATGCGAGAGTGCAACTGTGAGTGTGAGTGATGCCGGTGCACGTGGCAGTGAGCGAGTGAGTGAGTGAATGTACACCTGCTGCTGTCTGCTTTTCGTGATCACTAAACCCCTCATGATCACTAACCCCTCCTCCCACCACACCCTTACCCTCAACCCCCCATACAGGACATTTCAAGCATTGTGTTGGAGAACCTCTCGTTACAGTCACATGAGAAGGACTATCTGCTGGCAGCCATTCTCGACCATGACGTCACCAACCAGGATGACCCCATAGGTGCGTGTGTGGGTGCGTGTGTGGGTGCGTGTGGGTGCGTGGGTGTGTGCGTGTGTGGGTGCGTGTGTGAGTGCGTGTGGGTGCGTGTGTGGGTGCGTGTGTGGGTGCGTGTGTGGGTGCGTGTGTGGGTGCGTGTGTGGGTGCGTGTGTGGGTGCGTGGGTGGGTTTATACAGTACTTGTCAATAATGGAGTTGACTTTTGAGTCGACTCGAAACTCTATCTGCTGGCAGCCATTCTCGACCATGACGTCACCAACCAGGATGACCCCATAGGTGCGTGCATTCGGCGTTCGGCGTTAGGTATTCGGTATTCGGTGTGCATCTGAAAATATCCGTGTGACTTTTGAGAATTCTCAAAAGTCACACGGATATTCGGTGTGCGTCTGATAATACTGCCGGATAGATTGCACCCATGTGTCTTTGACTTCTAGACCATGACGTCACCAACCAGGACGACCCCATATGTACTGTACATGAATCCGGTGATACTGTACGTAAATCTATTGAAAAAAACTACAAAAATTACCGTATTATGTACTCTCAAGTTCAACCGCATTGCCTGTATGTGCAATTTTGAGCCATACTATGTGGACTGGTTATTGAATTTTTGGTACCGATATTGCATCTGTGGTACCGATATTGCATTTGTGGTACCGATGTCTGTGCGCTCCCTGTGCAGCTGTGTGTCTCCCCGCCTACCGGTGATAATTGTTACAATGCACCCTCCCATATTGTCTACCACATCTGCAATTTCTCCATTCCATTTGCCGTCTCGTCTTGCTGCTTCCATCCAGTTCTTGAGTCGACTCCAAACGAGTGACTTTTGAGTCGACTTAGAATAGAAACCATTTGATATTTTTGTATTCCATCTGCCGTCTCGTCTTGCTGCTTCCGCCAGTTGGCCTCGGCAGTGCACGCAACGATGTCTAGTAGCAAAAAAAAAAAAAAAATCCCATCTGCCCCATCGTCTCGCTGCTTCCGGGCTTGGCAGCCTTCATCCCATTGGCCCCAGCAGTGGTGCATGCCCGCATGGCCAACTCAAAAAACATACCCAGCGGTGCACGCCCGAATAGCCGACTTTTTGAGTCTTGTAAAAAATGTCTATCCCGTCTGCCTCCTCTTGCTGATTGCAGGTTTTGTAACCATCCCCTTGGCTCCTGCTGTGCACGCTCTGAGAGCCAATAAGGGTGAGCCCTTTGTGGACTTTAAGGTGGAAGTCACACACAAGGGCATGCCGGCAGGGCACCTTCAAGGAAGCTTCCGGCTAGCGTGGGCTGCGACCAAGCACCGCAGCAGCAAGTGCGCTCAAATGTGAACAGGGTGTCGAGTTGACTTCTGAGTAGATTCAAAAGTCAACCAAACACCACAGCAGCAAGTGCGCTCTAATGTGAACGGGGTGCCTTTTGAGGTGCCTCAAAAGGTGTAGAGAGCTCCAACTGGCCCGTGGATGGGTGTGTGGATATTATGGAGGAATGGAAGTTACGGGGCGATTGGAGTTGTTATGGAGCACTTAAAGGTATGCAGTTATTCTAGTTATTATTATGGTGCAACTAGATCGATGGGGCAGTTGAACGAGTAGAACTGTGCGGAAAATATGCTGTAGAAGTGTTTGCCTACCTAGGAGTATTTATGTATCGTAGTAGGCATGGCAACAAACACAATCTTGCTCACATAATTAGCATGTAGAGATGAGATGTTAGATAGGGCTTTGAGATCTGTTGGGGAATGTATTTGAGTGTCCTTTGCCTGTATTGACGTACAGTGTGCGCAAGAACTCCTACAACAGAGTGCAAAAACCTACACACAAGATCACTCTCTGGTGAGGGTCTGGCCAGGGGTTCTTCGATGCTCAAGTTGGGCTTGGGCATCACCGCTTGACCTCCATCACAACAGTCAACAGTGCAATACTGTAGGCTCGCATCACAAGTGCCGTCGGCTCTTGTTTTTGTACGCGATATAGTCAAGGCGTATGGGCTAGTGGAGCCAGTGCTACATTGACCAGTGTGGGAGGCAAGGCAGTCGCCAACAGAATCCACTGTGCTGATGTATTCCGTGTTGTGCCTTGCCACACAATCACGCGGCTTGCGAAGGTGGTAACGTAGAGAGGCGAAAGTGATCATCCCATGGCGAAAGTACCGATTTTCGCGCTGGCTGTATCTCTGCCACGTCGCACGCGAGCAGGTTTGGCTTGAGGGGCATCGCTTGAAAGCAGACGCACTGTGCTGCTTGCTCAAATTCTTGGGAAACTATATCCTAGATCCTTACTTTCAGATTTCTCTCATATTTACCCCCAGGTTTACTCGAAAGGTCCCACTTTCTGGGATTTGGCTCACGCGAGGCCCAAATTATGTTCAAAACTGGTCCTGTGGGCCTTAAATATTGACACGTGTCTATTTCACACCAACAATTTTTGACGGGGCACAAAAACAATAATACCCCTGGGGAAACCAGGACACTTGTTCGGGAGGGATCAACCCTAAACACGGGAACCCGCCCGGTGGGTTGATCCCTCCCGAAATGTATCCCGCGGGCAAAAAATAAACCCCTTGGCTTACGGCAAGCCATTCGGGAGCATCAACCCTAAAATTTTAGGGTTGAGGCTCCCTCGGATGGCATGCCATCCGAGAGGGTTTTAGTTTTTTTTCTTGCCCGCGATCAGCTTGCTGACTCGATTGCACTGCCTGCTTACGCAGGCAGTGCAATATATTACCCAAATTGTGTCCCGTTTCCCCAGGGGTATTATGTTTGGTTTGCCCCGTATAAAAAAAACCTTGCACGAAATGGACACGTGTCGTAATTTCTGCCCCGCAGGACCAGTTTTGAACATACTTTGGCAGCCAACCACCCAGAGTGTGAATTCGATTAGGATTATGGTGACACGTGGGTGAATGTGGTGAAGATTACTGTCTTGTTTCCATAACTTTCCTGTCTGAGGCACGGATGGGTGGAAAGTGCCCGCTACTGGCACTGTAGTCCCCTTCAAAGCGCAGGGTCGCTAGTAGTACCCCTGCCAAAGCTACTTACCCCATACTTTGGGCCTCGCGTGAGCAGAATTCCGCAAAGCTGGACTTTTTGGGTAAACTCGGGATCAAAATTGAGATATTTTTGAAACTGTGGAGCTGCGATGTACTTTCCCGAAATTCTTTCGTTGAACGACGAACTGAGCGCTTGAATCTACTGTGATCACGACTCGGTTCTGGACTACATAAACCGACAAAAGTCGACTCTCCTTTTCTGGTGCCCGAAAGTGACACTAGGCTGGTGGTGGCTCGAGATGTCAAGGAAGATCACTCTGTAACCGTGAGGAATCGTAATTTGACGCACAAGAACCTACAAAACCGTTTACATGACATGGCTCTTCTTTATCATCGGGAATCGAATTTCAGAAAATCCAGATTTCCCTCTTGCACCGCGTCGTCATCAAAAGAAGTCAGGTCATCCAAGGAAGTTTTGTGGAGGGAGGGACGGCCAACCCCAATCTGCTTTGCCCGTGAGTTGCGCAAACGACGAGTCCTACAGTCACACCGAAGGAGAACCGTTACCTTATGACGTGATGGCGACCGTCAAGCACTTCAGCCACGAACTCTCTCGTTCACCATGCACCCTCTCCGGAACTTCTGTTGTACAGGAGAAGTTGTATTCAGCTAAGACGTAGGACTGTACTTTTCTAGAATCCATTTTGACCAAGGCGCTCCTATCTCGAGGGAGAGCAGACACGGCGGTAACAGCAGCAGTTGTCGACATGATATTTCCTCCCTTACCCAAGCTGCCTGCTGGCGATCTCCTTCCGCTTATCCAGGCTGGACACGTGGCGTCCATCTGGCACGACGTGCTGCTCGTGCCGCCGCAATTGGCGCAATCATCCACTTCACGTTTACAAGCATCCCCGTTTCTAGCTGCTAGTCCCAACGACTTGCTATTTCCCTCGCCAGCCGCGGAAACCGAGAGCGACGATTTTGGCGGGAATTATGGGACGGCCGATGATTACGTGTCGCTTTCCGCGTTCACCTTCGTCTGCACCTCCTCGAAAACCTCTAGCGCGGATCACGGCGCGAAGGGTGGAGGAGGACATTTCCCGCAGAACACTCGCTCACATCGAAGAAAGAGTCTTTCTCAATATGAAGGCGAAGCGCCACTAGTTTCCCCCTCTCCCTGCTCGCTCTCTCCCGACTCGCTGTCTCCCCGCTCGACACGCCCCGCCTTACCTTGCCAGCGGCTCGACTTAGATGGTTCTTTGAGCCCCGACGATTCCGCGCCGCGCCCATGGAATCTAGGTATCATGCCACAGACGTGCGTTCTCTCTCCCGTTGCGGCTCAGCCGTCAGATGTGCGGACAGACGGCTCAGACGACTCGCCGCCGTCGTCCCCGTCAATAGCTTCCGCAGGCCCTGAATCACCGCGGCGCGAGTCCGGCGACTCGTCGTTCCCCGTGATTTTCGACAACGCGCCGATCGAAGCGTTGGAAATCGGCACGCGGGAGCGCGAACCCGGGGAAGCGTACCCGGTGCTTCCGCTCCTCGCGCTGCCCATGCGGCTTCACAACGAGACGCGCTCGGAAGTTTCGTGGAAGCTGGTAGTCATCGCGATTGACGACCCGTTGGTTTCTGCCCGACGGATGGACGTGATCTCGCGGAAGCTTTTGCCGATGGTGCGGAGGTGGGTTCGCGATTCAGGCTTCGCGTCACCGCCACGGCGAGAAAAGGAGGCGCCTGGACAGGGTGAGTTAGTTTCGGCCACAGTAGCAAGACAAGCTAAGGACATAACGGTACAGCGAGGCCGCCTTATCGTCCTCCTGCTGTCGCGATGATGCTTTCACGCGACAACTGTGCGACCCCCCCCATTTTTTTCCCCGTCCTCCTGCATTCCCGTTCCTCTTCCCCTTGCCCTTTCCCTCTTCCCCCCTTCCCGCCCCCCCAAGCAGTTACAGCGCCTTCGCGTGCTAACCCGTCGCGCGACCCTCTCGCCTCGTCCCTTGCGGCGTGCTCGTGGGATGAAGCTGCACGGAAGGCGCGCGAAGTGATCACCGAGGCGCACTGCACGTGGAAGGTACTCGGAAGCGCCCTCCGCCGGCCGACCTTACAGCGGAGAGGCCACGTGCAGGCGCACGCGCTGCGAGCGTGGCAAGAGCGGGATAAGATCCTCGACAGCATCAGCAACGCGACGCACGGTAGCGAATCAGCTGATATCGGAGCGAAAGGTAGCAGTAGCAAGCGTAGGGTCAATTTCGCCACCAGTTTAAAAAGCGGACGGCTCAGCTATATCGGCAGTACTAGCATCAGCGGTTTTCCTGCCGCGACAGACGAAATATTCTGCGAACCAAACTGGAAAGCTGCGGAAGATTCTGAAAAGGCGCCTCGAAAGGGCGACGCGGGAAGTGGTAGTAACTCGGTGTGGTTACTAGTCCCTCGTTTTGGAAAGGAAGCAGAGAAAGCTGCTCGTAATAGGTTGCGCCCGCTTTCCGCAACTTCCGCCGCCTCCTCCACCTCGATTACCGAGTCGAACGGGCGTAGTCATCTCGAGGCGGCTGCCGAATCAGCTATCTCTCGCGTGAACGCTTCTGCCGCCGCGTCTGCCCGCGCTTCGGTCAGCGCCAGGGGCCACTATCGCCACGGTTCTTGGGGTTGCGAACGGAACGCCGGCGGCGGCAGCAACTGTGCGAAGATCTGCGAAACCCCTGAGTTACTCTGCGAACATGGTAGCAGCAGCAGCAGTCTCCGCAGCAGCAGCGGCAGCACTAGTGGCGACAGCTGGCGACGGTTCGACGCCGCTCCGAGCAGCAACGGCGAGCCTTCCCCCTTTCCTTCCCCGCGCTCCACCGTTTTCCCGTCTCCACGCCCCGCTTTGAAATATCTTGCTAGCGCAACTTTCGCCGGCGCGACTTCCGCCAGCGCGACTTCCGCCAGCGCGACTTCCGCCAGCGCGGCTTCCGCCAGTTTAAGTCGCGCCAGCCCCCGCACCATTTCCCCGCTCCCCGACCGAAACATTCCCGCTTCAACATGCACGTCGCAGGACGATTCGTCCACGTCAGCAGCTGCAGCGGCGCTACTAAACGAAATCCTAGACGCGCCACTGCCCATGTTTTTGGACCTACAGCGAAGCGCCACTATCGGAACGTATGATTTTCAGAAACGCGGTGCGAAAACCAGCAGCAACAGTCTAAGCGGTGGTTCAATCAGTGGGCGGTGGTGGGGGAGGGAGCAGAGAAAGGGGGAAGAGGGGAAAAGCGGGAGGTTTAGTAAAAGCGGTGCTGGTCGGTTGGGTGGTTTGAGTGAGAATAACGAAGGAGAAGAAAATCGGCTCGGCAGCGGCGATGGGAGTTCTGATGGCGATGGTGACAATAGCGAGGGCGAGGACAGTCCGAGGCCGATGGAGCTGGTGAGAAGGCACACCGTTACAACCATAAATAAAAGCGACTACAGTGAAGCAGCTGCTATTTATGTGAATGCTGTTGCTAAAGAAAACGCGGATACACATGGGATGCATAGGAGCGAGACAGTAATGAGCGGTGATATTGTACGGAGCAGTCCAGTGCTGGAGTTACCACGCAGCAGCGATGGCCTAGATAGCACTAACAGTAGCAGGGTTGACGGTAACAGCAGCAATAGTAGCGAACGTAAAGTTAACGGTAACACGGACACGCCTAGGAGCAGAGGGAGGAATCTATGGATGGAAAGGACTGGGAAAGTTCGCGCAATAGCCCGCTTGCTTCCGCGCTTAAAGGTTCAGGCACCGGTCAGGAAAGTGGTGGAGGGAGGCAACGTGGAAGTGGAAGAGGAGGGGGGCCAAGGGGATGAGAAGTTGGAGGAGAAGGAGGAGGAGGAGCAGCTGTGTTCAGTCGGAGAAAGAGCAGAGACGAGGCATGAGTGTGTGGATGGGGAGGGGAAGAAGGAAGTTAGGGGTGAGCAGGAGGAGGAAATGGAAGAGGAGGGTGAGGAAGTGGAGGAGAAGGTGCAGGAGGGCGGCAGCAGTGACGCAGCAGACAGCAGCATTGGCGCAGTGGGCGGCGCAGTGGGCGGCGCAGTGGGCAAGAAGAGTTTCCGGTACAGCATCATCATCCCATCCAAGTTCTCCAAGAGCGCTGACCTGGCGCTCGGCAGCTGTCGTGAGGCTCCCAAGGCCACCTGGCCTGCCACCCCCCAGACCTCCCGTGAGCCTCCCAAGTCTCTCTGGCCTGCCACCCCCCAGACCTCCCGTGAGCCTCCCAAGTCTCTCTGGCCTGCCACCCCCCAGACCGCCCGCCCTGCTCCCAAAGCTGAGAACGCTTCTAAGCGCGCTCTGCCGCGGCCCCACACCTTGCAGCCTGAACGGCCCCGGACGGCCGAAGCAGATAGCAGCACTGGAGGTGCGGAAAGATTGGGGAAGGAAGCTTCCCGGGGGTTTCCTGGGGTCAGGGGGTGCGCGGCTCGGGACGGGTGGGGGTCCAGCCAGGACCTGTCCATACTGGAATGGGATAAGCCTCGAGGCTTTCCCGAGCCTCGTGCCGAGCCTCCTTCCAAACCTCCTGCCGAGCCAAGTTACAATCGATGGAGCGATTCAGACACGAGTAATCCTACAGAGGAAGCTTATAAGGAGGACAGGAAGTTTACAGCTAGTGAGCTGCTAGTGAGGGCTCTGAGGGAATCCCACGTGGATCCTGAGGATGCATACGCAGCAGCACTATCAGCCGTAGCTGCTGCTGTCTCTGCTTCAACTGCTGCTGCTGCTGCTGCCGCCGCTGCTGCAGCGGCTGCTGTGTGTTATTCACAACCGAAAGAGGCAGCAGCAGCGGCTGCTGCGGCTTCGGCTGCTGCTGAGGCTGCTTCTGAGGCTGCTGCTGCTGCCGCGCTGATTGCTCCCAGGGAGTCTGTGGCTCGTGCCGTTGCTGCTGCTGCTGCTGCTGCTGGTTTATCAGACCCTGGTCACAATAACGACCCTTCTTGTGACCAGTGTTCTGGTGGAAATTCTGGCGGTGCTGGGAAGTCCTCGTGTCAGGGGGCTAAGGAAGGTGGTCCTGATGGTAAGGACAGCAAGGGTACAGGCAGCAGGAGCAGTGGTAAGAGCAGCAGCAATGGTATCGGCAAGAGCAGCAGCAAGAGAAGCGTCAACGACGGTGACCCAATTGGCAAAGCAGGGGAAGCAAGGCAGATGAAGGCAGCAGCAACGCACAGCAGCACGAGCAAGCAGGTCCGATCGGAACAGGCAAATCAGCCACAGGGCAGCAGCAGCGCAGGGAAGGGCAGCGAGGGGAAGAGGATCCGACCGTCGATGAGCCTACCATCCGCTAAAGGCTTCACAGTTATAGCAGCCAAGGACGCTCCATGGCGGCTGTCCAGGCAGAACACTGCTGCAGCAGGCAAAACCGCCCTAGCAGCCGTAGCAGCCCAAGCAGTTACGGAAGGCGAGAGCACAGCAGGTGAGCTTCCAAAGGGGCATTCCCCTGTGCTTCCAGCAGAGGCGAGAACAGGGCAGGTAGTTGCTCGGCCAAGCAGCACAACGCCCATCACCAGAGCTGCCCCCTCTCTCCTTTCCCCTGCCGAAAGGTCTGCTCTCCCTTCTCCCAGCCCGCGCCATCGTGCTGTGCCGCGCTCGCCCCTCTCACCGCTCTCGCCCCCCTCGCCCCTCTCGTCTACCTCCTCCGCCTCCGCTCTCTCCTCTGCTTTCCCCTCTTCTTTCTCCTCTTCTTACTCTGCTTCCAAACTCCCGTCTGGTGGCGCCGTTACAACCCCCCCCACCCTGGGTCACTCTGTGCCAAAGTCATTCTCGAACCGCAACCTCGCATCGCTCTCCACTTCTCCAAACCGTTCCGGTGGCAACCTTGCACCGCTCTCCACCGCTCGAAACCACAACAGGACGCTGAGTCTGGCCCGGTCCGTTCCCCCGAGCCCACGCGAGCCGCGATCGAGGGATGGGAGTGGGAGGGAGCGTGGAGGGCTGGAAAGGTTTATCTCATTTGAAACCCCCATAGTGTCAATGAATGATGGAGAGAGAGTGTAGGAATGGTTGGAGGGGCGGATGGTGGTGCACTGCACGGTTCCGGTTGTTCGAGGATGGGTAAAGGGGGAGGGCGAGAATACGGGGTGTTGCTGAGTGGGATGATGCGAGAAGTTCAGCTTGAGGGCGTTGCTGCAGACATGAGTTACAGAGTGGAGAGTGCGGATTGGAAAGAGAATGTGGCGGGAAGGGGAATTATGTGCATGAAATCTAAGTTTCCTGTGTATATGGATGCGCTGGTGCCTCCCAACCCATGCAATCAGCAGAAATCGCAGCTGGTTCGGTTGCTGCTTTTAGGGTTTGGTAAAGGGAAAATGGAGAAGATGGTGGGACAATAGAAGGAGCTGCAGCAGCCGTTGGAGGAAATGGTGGGGCTTTGGAGGTTGGTTAAGGCAACTGACTGCTTCATATCTTGGATGTACCTGCTGTAAATATCTAAAAATCTAAACTTGGCTATGAATAATAGCTTTTATCGTTCAAACGAGGATGCCCTCTTGACCAGGTTGCTGTTGTGTTCACGGGGAATTCTTCCCAAGAGCAAGGAATTGTGGCCTCGTTGCCTGCCAGCACGTGGTGAGGTGATGGTGCCAATTCGCGGTTCGGCTGAATTGCATGATGAGATGCGGCTCGATCGTGACACACATTTCCGTCCGCCAACCCCCAGCACTTGGACGTTCCCCTCCTCCGACTCCGAGCTTGTCACGGGCAGCGTCTACTTCTCCAAGCGCCCGTCAGACGGTGTCACGCAAACTGCCCGCCTCCACCACATCGTGCAAACCAAACAAGCTTTCATTGACGGAAAGTTGGACGGGAAAATGTTTCTGAACGCAGGCAAATACGAGCAACCTCTTCGCTGCGAAAGCTGCTTTCACGATTCTGTTTTTGCTGCTCCACTGCCACTTTCGCCTCTAGTAACCTAGCTTTCGAGTTATCCCGGTTCCACCGACACTTCACCTGTGGAACCATTGCGTGGCGCGATATTACCCCCAGCGAGCAACGGGAGATGACGCAAAACCTATTTCACGCTGGCGGGCCGCCTGGCCTACTTTCCGTCTCGCTTACTTGGCTCACGCCGCTGAGCGCCTGTCAATGGCTACTAGTTCTGTATTGCGCCATGCCACACAATCTGACACTGGGTGATACATGCGCGACACACGGCAATTTCAGGAATGCTTAGTCGTGAGAGGGACTCGAACACCAGTTTCAGACGCCCGCGAATGGCGCTAAGCACCATACTAAGGCGATTAGTATCCAAAGCTTTCAACTATGGCGGCAGGAAAAACGGAAAGTGCAGCAGCACTTCCAGCAGCAACAGCACCAGCGGCAGCAGCACTAGCAGCGGGAGTGGCAGCGACAGTAGCGGCAGCAGCAGTAGTAGCACAGTTTTCGGAAGGAAAACGAGACTGCTGCGCGGTCTGTCGAGAAACTCAGGCGCGCCGCACGCAGCAAACAACACGCCGAGTCGTTTTCCGAGCTCGACTCATTATCCCACTTCATTCTCCGATACACCACTAGCAACCGATACCAGGAAAAGCCTTTTTCCAAGCCCTAACTCCAGCGAGCCCCCATGTGCTTCCTCAACCTGTAGTACGTCGAGCGCGGCTCCTCGAGAATACATTTTTCCGACTCGGAGCTCTAATCTCAGCGCAGCGTCGACACTCGCTGCCGCCACCGGAATGGGTGCGACCATCGACCGCGTGCCCAAGTTGATCGGATCGGGCTGTGACGTGGCGTCGACGTGGCACGGCGTGCCCATTTCCTCAAATTGCGTGGCGGCGACTTCCCTCCTAAGGTCCGCGTCGTTACCTCCTAAAGCCACAAGTACTACCATCGACAACTCGCCGGTTATGGCGTCGCCCGGTTCATCCTCGTTACAGCCAGCCTCGCTGCCACGCTTGTTCAGCGAAACGCGCATCCCTAGCGCTACCACATCCCGCTTTGGAAGCAGCCGCGGGTTTTGCTCACCGCCGTCAGCATTAACTTCAACGTCGACGTCAGCGTCAACGTCAACGTCAACCGCCGCATTCACATTCATTTGCACGTCCGCACCTTCCGACTCGTCCTCGCATGAAGGATGCGCGTTCGGTGCGTGCTCACACGACACGTCCGAGCGAGCCGGGGCCAGGCCCGAATCGTGTCCTTCCGTGTCAGCCGCGCAAGCGTGTCCGTGGAACCTTGGGATCATCCCGCAGACGTGCGTGCTCGGAGTCGTTCCGGCGAACCTTCCGCCACGCTCCGCGGAGCTGAATCTCTCTAGCATCGATCTCAAGTTGGATTATACTAGCCGTTCAAACGAGCCATTTCCAGAAATTCTCGGCGACGCGCCATTGGAAGCTGTTGAGGTGGGGGCCAGGCGGAGGGGCGCAGCGCGGATTGCTGCTGCTCCCAGGAACAGCAGAGGGGGTTCAAACGAGCCATTTCCAGAGATTCTCGGCGACGCGCCATTGGAAGCCATTGAGGTGGGGGAAAGGCGGAGACAGTGCGGAGACGTGTACTCCGTTGTTCCGCTGCTGGCGCTGCCCGTCAGGCTGCGCGGGGGAGGAGCAGGGGAATGGGCGCGGCGAGGAAGCGGAGGCTTGTTGGGTGGAGGATGGGAGGGACGATGGAAGAGAATGAGCGAGGGAGCATGGGACGAAAAAGGAGGCGGCGCGAGAGGAGGGAGTGAGGAGGAGGAAATGGGTGAGAGGAATGAATGTGCGGCTGATTCGGGCTTAGAGGTTTCCTGGAAGCTGCTTGTGATAGCTGCAGACGACCCCCTTGTCGTTGCACGAAAACTTGAGGAAGTTACCCAGAAGCTGCTCCCTGCTGTCTGCAGGTGGGCAGAGGCAGCACACTTCACAGTCCCCTTCCGAGGAGCGATGCTGACGTCACCACGCTCCTGCACAGCGCTGACGTCAGCAGGAAGCTGCTCAACGCTGACGCCACCTCGAGATGATCTGGGCGTGCGCTGCTGCTGCTACGGTGGCAGCGGCGGCCGGCACGACAGCTGGCAGGAGGAAGCTTCCAGGAAGGCGGAGGCGGTGGTTCTAGACGCCCACCGCACGTGGAGGATTCTGTACGGCCCGCCGCTTCTACGCGCCAACGTGGTCGGCAGGAGGTTTGGCAGGAGGCTCGGCAGGAGGTTCGGCAGGAGGGTCGGCAGGCGGTGCGGCAGGAGGGTCAGCAGGAGGGGCGGGCAGAGGGGAGAAGCTACCCGCCACCGCTCCTGCGTAGCGCCTGTGGGCGGCAGGAGGGGCGGCAGGCGAAGGAGGTTCAGCAGGAGGGGAGGGCAGAGGAGCGAAGCTACCCGCCACCCCTCCTGTGTAACGCCTGTGGGCGGCAGGAGGGGCGGCATGATGGCCAATCAGAAGGAAGCCGCCCGCTGATTGTGAGCAGCGGTGGACGGCTCCCCATGGGCGGCACGTTGGACAGTAGCACGGGTCAGGGCGAGAAGCGTGTGGTGAGGAACACTGGCGAGGGGCAGAGGAGCGCGTGTTACACTGAGAAACAGACAGAGGAGTGGGAGGGTGCTGGATCAACTCGGAAATCAGATCATTATTCGAATCATCATTTGGATCACCACACAGCGGCAGAGGGGAAACGGGGTGCTGTAGATTCAGCGGACATGGGGGTGGGGAAGTGGATGGGGAAGCATTGGAGCATGCCCGGGGGGTGGGGGAGGCAGAAGAGGGAGAGGAGGGAGAGGGGGAAGGGAAGGAGGAGAAGCACGGTGCATCATGTGGCAGCTGCTGTTCCGTTCTGAGAACAGCTAATGTGGCGACTGGTACACCTACACGTGCAGCCATACCGTGTTAGCTTTTACCGTATTAGCTCTTGTACAACTCTCTACCCAGATAGGGAGGAGAATGATGACTTAAGAGAGGAGAATGATCAGCAACCCGCTGCTGGAAGAGAGAATGTTAGCCTCATCCTCAATACTTCTCAACTACACGTGCAAACCAGTTTTTTTTGTGGTAAAAAGGAAAAAGAGGAAAATGGAAGAAATTATGTACATTATATACATCACATTACACAAGCATCATCTGAAACCACTACATCCATTGCTACAACTGCAGGCTCTCTTTCCGAGTTACTTCCTTCACTGGCATCCCGGATCAGCCATCTTAGCACTCTCCACACCATCCATCTCTCCCACATCCCTCCTCCCCCCCATCGCATCCTTCACATGCTCAGCAGCCGCTGCCACTGACTTTTCACACTCTTGCCAGTACCCCAACTAGCAACCGACCGATCCACCACCCACCCATCTGCCCACCGTACTTTCCCTCCTTACTGCTCCTTCTGCTTTATTTCCTTCACCAACCTCTCCAGCTCAGGATCAACCATCTTTCTTCACTCCCCACATCCTCTTTCCCACCCCACACTCCTGCTCCCCCCCATCGCATCCTTCACATGCTCAGCAGCCGCTGCCACTGTCTGCAGCCCCCACCAATGCTCATGCCAGTACCGCACAAATTGATCTGCCCACTTTGCATGACCCCCCTCTACTGCTCTTTCTGCTTTGCTTCCTTCACCAGCCTCCCCAGCTCAGGATCAGCCATCTTGGCGCTCTCCACATCCCCCTCCCCTCCTCCCAAATTCCTCCTCCCCAGCATCGAATCCTTCACATGCTCAGCAGCAGTCGCAACTGACTCCAACACCCCAGCATGCTTCACACTGTGCCGTCTCACCTTTGCCTGCTCAACCAAATCTCCCATATGCGCCTTGTTCACCAACTCACTCACCCATCCTCCCCCTCCCCCTTCCGCTCCCCCTCCTTCTGCGCCTCCCCCTGCCCCTTCCGCTTCTGCCACCCCCTCTCCTCCTCCGCCTCCTCCCTTCCCCCCCTCCCCTGCCGCCCCGCCAATCCCCAGCTCCTCCCTCTGGCCGACAATTTTCGGCGCCATGGTATTCTCCTTGGCAATCCGGTTCTTCGGCTCAACAGTCTCAATCCCCGACTTATCCATCACAGCCTTTGTGATTCTACCGAGGGGCTCCCTCGCCCCCCCTTTAAGCATCTCCACCTGCTGCCTCCTGTCCACTCCCCCCTCCTCTGCGCCTCCACCTGTCCCTTCCCCCACCTTCACCTGGTCCCAGGGGACGCTTTTAGCACCAGGCACGGCTCCACCGCCAAACACGCCGCGCTCGTCTGATGAAGGGGATTTCACTGCGGACCTGCCTGCTGCTGTCTCAGTGGCCGCCGTCCCATCTCCCCCCCCATGCCCACTGCCAGATTCCTGGGGACTACCACCAGCACTGGTAATACCACTCTCAGCAACAGCACCAGCAGCACTCCTTGCAGAAGATTTTCCGCCCTTCTCCTGGCTGGTGTGGGGGTAGTTCTGCGGAACATCCGCCTTGCTCCCAGCAGCAAACATGGCGCTCAAACCAGACCCTCCGAGATCAGCACTGGGCTCAGGATGATACCGCACCACCCCGCCCAGTCCCGGCGCCATCCCCCCCTTCTCTTCCCCCAAGCTTGCCCTCCCCGCGTGCCTTTCCGCTTCCCCCGCTTCCCCTCCGCCGCCTGCCCTGCCTCCCCCCTCCTGCTGGTCGCCTCCTTCCGCGGATGTGCGCGCGGAGAGGCTGGCAGGCGCGCGGTCGGGCTCATGGGCGGCGGAACGCTCTCCGCCACCCTTCACGTCCGCAGCAAGCGGGCGCTGCAGCGCTGGCGCTTCCGCCGGTGGGACCTCCGCTGGTGGCGCTTCCGCCACTTCGTATTTCCCCACAACGCCTAGCATCTCCGCAAACGAGTGCACGATCTGCCCAACTGCGCCCGCGACGGTGCCCGTCGCGGCTGCGCCAGTGTCGCGCGCGCCAGCGGCGGAGGCGGAGATGTTTTCCGCCGTGCGGTCGTACGCGTCCTTCGCGCCCTCCTCCGCGGACGCAATGCCCTCCTGCGCGGACTCGATGGTTTCCGCCGTGCGATCGCGCGCGCCAGCGGCGGACGCGGATACGTTCTCCGCTGTACGGTCGTACGCGCCACGCGCGCCCTCCTGCGCGGACTCAATGCCCTCCGCCGTGCGCTCCGCCGCCGCGGAGACACTGAAACGGAGCAGATACGGGATGGGGATGTCGATGAGGATCAGAAGGGAACCACAACGTAATGCAACGACCACATGATTGCGAAGAACAAAACCGGTAACACATAACCGATCCGCGAATGGTACTTCACAAATCTGAAGTAACATAATTCAAGCTTCAAATCACCACAGGCACAATCTGCACATACCCTTCCTTGGCACTCTCGCCAACCGCCTCTGCCGCTCCTTCCACCGTGCCGGCCACCTTGCCCAGCCCTCTCGCCGTCACGGAGCCCGCCGCCTCGAGATTTTCCTGCAGGTACGTAAACACCAGATACTGCTGCGCTGAACACCAGATACTGCTGCGCTGATTCTCTCACAAACACGGAGTTTGCGCATGCAAATCCGGGGAAAAGAAACGAAAAGGGAAAGAGGAAAAAAAAGAAGCAGCAGCCTCACCACCGCCGTGTCCTTGGTCTCCGCCGCGAACCCCCTCCCCCTCTCATACGCCTCCCGCCCCGCCTCCCTCGCCGTCTCGCCCGCCTGCTGAGCCGTTTCCCGCTCGCGCGCAGCCTCGAGGGTCTCCTGAATGCCTTCCAGCGTGCGCTCCATCACCCCCCGCGCGCGCTCCGCCATCGACTCAAACGATCCTTGCGCCTTCTCTCCCTCCGCCTGCGCCTCCTGCGCAATCTGCTTCACTCCCTGCGCGCCTTCCTCCGCCTGCTTTTCCGCCTCCTCTCGCGCCTGTACCGCCTTCCCCTTCGACTCCTCGATCCCCGCCGCCACACCTGCACGCGTATCCTCCGCTTTCCTCTCCGCCACCGCTGCACCTTCCGCCGCCTTCCGCGGCTCCTCTCGCGCAACGCGCTCTGACGTAGCAGCAGTCTCACCGGCTTTCCGGCTCACATCTTCACTCGACTCGCGCGCCGCTGGTTGCTTAAACTTCTCGGAAGCTTCCCTCGCCGACTGCTTGATCGACTCCGAAGTCTCCGCAACGCCGCGTTTGGCGGCGTCCCATCCGCTCGCAGCATGCTCCTTTGCCTCTTCAGTCGCCTTACGAGCTTCCTCCTTAGCACTCTCCTTCGCGATCTTTGCACTTCGCTCCCTCTCCTGCTGCGACGACTCCCCAACGGCCTCCTCTCGACCCAATCCGATCGACGATTCGCGCTCCGCCTTGTCCACGTGGCCGCCACGTGCAGCTTGACTGCCAATCGACACGTCACCAGCGGCGGGCTCACCCTGCGTGGCCGCGGGTACATCCTGTGTGTTAATCGGAATGTCCAATCCAGTCTGGAAAGCTCCCTCGGTTTCTGGAGCCGCGTGGCCCATGAACCGCGACGCGAGGTTCTTGAGCGGCGCGAGAAAACCGCCGCCCGAGGCGGAACCCTCGGTGCTCGAGAGTGCTTCTTCACCTCGCTTCAGCGCGTCTTCGTGCCTGGACGATCATAAAGACAAAACTTGGAAGAGTCAGTGCTGGGAGCCTGGAGTGTCTGGTAGAAGGGGCATTGACAGATATTGGCCAAGAATGAACCTGTTTTCTGTTGGCAACGAAGGACCAGAACGATTCAAGTGCGCCATACGCGACGACGAAGACGTGAGCTGTGCATGTGATGCTGGGATTAAGGGAACTCTTACGATGCTGGAAGTTCTTCCCTGCCTCGCGCTGCCGTGACCTCCTGTCCTTTCTGCGCCATAGTCTGCTCTTGCTCGTACGCTTGGGGATCAGCATGCTTCTGTTACGATAAAAATAGAAAGAGGTTTTAGGCGATAGTATCAAATGCAGGGAATAATCGCACGGAAAGAAAGAAACGATAAATGGCAATGCTCACCTGTGTTAGATCTTCCTTCTTCATGTAGGACTCCACCTCCTCCTGCGCCATTGGCCCCGATCTGCGTGTCTGTTCTGAAGCCATTGCAGCGAGATTTTCCGAAATTCACCCTTCAAATGTCGGGAAGGCACGTGAACGTGTACAATTACAAAGCACCCAGTTCCAAAGTCTATTGAATCAGAAGGCATGTTCGTAATTAAGGAGGCCGAGCTGAAAAGCGCGAGCATCCCGAGGTGTGTGCTGGACGCCATAGCTGGAGAAATGCGGCGCGAATTTCCTAACGAAATCTGCATAATTTGGAAAATAGGAGTGCAGCTGGTAATGCGTCACACAAGCCGTGCATGAGTGCGGAGGTCGTTCAGAGGACGACACATGGTGAGATCGCAGCCTTCGGAAGAGTGTTTATTGTCAGCCGTCGATGCTGCTTCCTCCAAGCAATTTGCTGAGTGATGTTTCCTCGACCAAACTGAGGTCCGCCAAAAGTGTGGAGGCCGTCAGATCTGATAGCGGAGGTTGTGACGTGTGTGGGGACCAGTGGTTCCAAATAGAGAATTAATTCCCGCCATTTCATGGGCTATCTTCGGATTGGTCAGATTGAGTGTGCTGGCACGGATGTTCCCCTCATTTGCGGGGACCACCCCACCAAGCATCCACTGTACCAAGGGGAAAGAGTCAAGGAGAAAGAACAGAATTGCAAATGTCAAGGGGGAATGGACAACACTTGACCACTCGTTGAGCAAAGCGTACATTTATTCCAGCAAGCAACAACTATCTCTGGCCAGGTTCAGGTTTTCCAATCAAAATAGGTAGATATGAAACAATATCCTTCTGCCCGCGGGCAGAAGCTCAGGTTTCGAACGGGGGCTCATCCTGTCAACGTTCCCTAGATTCTGCCAGCCAACCAAAACCATAGAACTCCGCCTTGTTGGAGTTGACGTGGAACCGAAGCTTTCAGAACTCCTCTTGCAAAAAAATTAAGCTACAAGCACCACCACACTAAACCCAATTTTCAACACTTCTCAACATTACCAACCGTACTCCACCTTACCGATGTGAATTTGATTTCGAGACTGGCTGTCCTCTGCAGGTTGAAAGAATCTGCAACTTCAAGAAGTCAAACCACAAAGCAGAAGGAAAGCACACATAAACACACGTAAGCGCGTCGGAGAAGCGGGCAAGTCAGAATCGCTCCATCACTTCCTTTCAGGTTTTCCTTTCAAGGTCGCCAAGTAGCTTTTGTGCATGTGCTTTCCGCGCAGCGCCTTCGTGTGACGCAGCGGCAACCCTGTAGGTTTCTTTCAGGCACTCATCAACACCGTCTGGCGAAAGCAGACTGGCCGTGGCCATTAGTTTGATCGATCGAGTGGACCATTAGAGGCCTTTATTTCGATACTTGATCCCAGCTTACTTATTCCTCTCTTTTCGTGGTAGCCTGCTTCTACTACTTTGGGACTTACGGTGAGATTACGTGAACCAGCGCATGGCTGGAGCCGTGTGTCCGATGACCCCAGGCGAGACCGACTGGCGATCTGCAGCGGAAAAACCAGCCACTTACCGGGTCAAGCCCTCGACAGCACGCATGAACGGCCGCATTAACGGTCGCGAAAACGGTTGTCACGTAAACGGTCATCAAGGAAACGGAGTGGCTAACTTTCATCATCCCGCTAATGGCGGTCGGCCACACGGGGACAGCGACGACGAGGAGTTTCATTCGGCTGAAGTTACCAGGACCGGTTCTTCTAGCGAGGATTTCTTTGACGCGGCGGAGGACGGACTAGAAGGTCGGTGTTCTTAACCTCGCTCTCCTTTCTTTTGTTCCTTTGTTCATTGCTTTTACAAAGTTGTCTTTGCATTCGCCAAAGCAGGCTTTAGTCTTCTTTTACAGAGATCACTTCGCCGTAGCCCTACATTTTTGGCCTGCACTTTTGCCGATGTGTTATTTTGTTCCTTTCCTGATTCGCCACCCGCCAACTGTACATTGTCGAATCTGATCGGATCGGATTGTTTTCCCGCTCCATTCTCTGCAGAATATCTCAGCAGCGACGAGGATTTCCAAAACGCGGCTCCCAGCATCGCCATCAACGGTAGCAGCCGAGCTGCTCCCACTCGCGGCCGGCGAACCTCGTACCGCGACCTCGTCGCGCGAATCCAGGAAGAGTCCAGAAGGCGAACAGAAGCGGAGGAAGCGCTGTCCGCCTGCACGAAACGGTTGGACGGCGTGCGAGCCGCGGTCGCAGCCGCGCAGAAAGCGCTCGACGAAGCTGCACTGGTCGTTCTCATTCCGGCAGGTTCCGGTGATGCTCAAGGGGGGAACGAAAGCAGCACGGCTAGTATCGAGGAAGCTGGAAACGAGGATGCCGGGTCGAGATCTGCTGACGGATCGCAAGAGGTTCCGACGGAAGCAGATACGACTGGGAGTGCCGGTGCAGAAACAGTTGTGAATGGGATTGGCATTGTGGAAACAGATACGACAGGGAGCGTGGATGTGGAAGGTGCATTGGCGAGAGCGGTTGCTGCGGCGATGAAGCGAGGCGAGGAGCATTTGATATCGGATAAGCAGCAAGCGGATCTGGTGGCGCGGAAAGAGGCGGAGGTGTCGCGGTTGCGAGATAAGCTGCAGTACTGGGAGAGGATGAACCAGGAGATGGCTGAGAAGAATAACGAAGCCATTGGTAAGGAGGACAAGCTGAAAGGATCTTTCTTGGCTACTTGAACACACGACCTCTTTCTGTTCTGCATTGTTTCCGCCTCTTGTTAATAGCTGTACGATTTCTCATGCCGGACCTTCATGTTGTGACGGTTTACGGTCCTCTAAGATCGTCAGTATAGTCTACGACCGTTTAAGATCGTCTATGACCATCAAACATCAGGTTTTAACATTACAATAGACCCGTTCTTTTGCGCCAGATTGTGCGCTTCCCCTTCTGCTTTCATGCATGTCTCTAGCTTCTTTCATTCCTCTGGGACATCTTTCTTGTTCCTTGCTTCCCCTCCAGAGCACATGAGAGCGCACAGGAACCTGATTTGGAAGGCGATGGGGTGGTATCATGGTTTCCTTTCTTTCTTTTTTGAAAACGCTTTTTCTCGCTCCGAAGTGGTGCGTTCCTCTTCTCCTTGCCCCCCTCCCAAGAGCACATGAGGGCGCACAGGCGGAGGTGGAACTTGATCTGGAAGGCGCTTGGGGTTGGAGCAGCCGTTCTTTGAGGCGCCTCAAATCCCCCTTTCGCATTGCATGCCTGTCTTGCTTGTCTCACTTCTCCTTTCCCCTCTTCAGAGCACATGAGGGCGCACAGGCGGAGGTGGAACTTGATCTGGAAGGCGCTGGGGGTAGGAGCAGCCATTTTTTTAGGCGCCTCGAATTCCTCTTTCTCATTGCATGCCCGTCTTGCTTGTCTCACCTCTTTTTTTCCCCCTTCAGAGCACATGCGGGCGCACAGGCGGAGGTGGAACTTGATTTGGAAGGCGCTGGGGGTGGGAGCGGCGGTCACAGTGGGCGTGGGTGTCATGGTAGCCGTTGCTCATCTCTCCAGCAGCAGCAGCAGCAGTAGCAGCAGTAGCGGTGATGTACATGGTAACAGCAATAGTAACAACGGTGCCAGTGGTATCGGCGGGTCTGTTTCTGCTGCAGCTGAATGAGGAGCCATGGATGCAGGTTGCCAGGAGGCTGAATTCGCACGTGCCAGCTCAGAAATGCCGGTCAATTTAAGTGCTGTTGGTGGAGTGGGTATGGAGGCATGGAGGAGCAGAGGCAATGCATGGGAAAGGCATGGTGGCAGCTCTTTGCCTGCTTGAGTCCCAGTCAATCCATTCAAGTCACAAGCTGGCTTCAGCAGAGGCTTAAACGACGGCCTCGAGGGGGGGAAAATCTGCTTGCTAAGATCTGCATGTGCTGTGTTTACTTCTTTCCGTGTTTGTTCATCTCGCTGGGACCTGGAGACTGGATCAAGGTGAGGAGATACGTGAGGGTTTCTGGTGCAGAGAGGTTGCTGCGGCTTATTGCTGCCAGCACCTCATGTGGCCCGTGCGAGGTTTAGTTTTGTATAGTATGTTGCCATCTTTTACACTGTTGCTGCTTGTTATTGTTATATACATCCTGGCAGTTATATCAATATGGAATTGCTGGCAAATGTCACTGAAGCCAGTTGAATTTCGTACTGTTCAGTTCCACAAAGTGTGCTGCTTTGTTGGGTTGATATATGCCCTTGGAATAGGAAATATAATAGGTACACCATATGTATATATGTAAGTACTAGTATAACACAAGCTCAAATACAGGACATTTGGTGGCTATGCTCCAGGAGCTACCTCTTTCTCTGGGCCCTGGCAGGCGATGACAGCCCTTCGCCTTCACCTTGCTCCCACACCCACCATGTTTCTCACCGCTTCTCGTGCCACCTCCCTCACTACCGACCTCTGCTGCCCGTGCCTGCCAAACCGCGGCACATACCGAACCACAGTGGCTGTCCCACCAGCACCACCGCCACCACCATCACCACTCCTCATCCTGTCCAGCCGACCTTTACTTGCTCCCCTCGGAGTGACCTGCCCGCTCGACCGCAGCTTGAAATCTGCTGACCTCGCATCATCGCCCCCCTGTGTGAACCCCATCTGGGGATTTTCTAAATGATCATTAATGCGACCCGGTGCCGCAAGTAACCAAGTGGTGCTGCTATTGCTGCTGCTCGTGCTGCTGCAGCTGCTATTGCTATCGCTCCTGCCAAACAGCCTACCGCTGTTTCCGCAGTTGCACTTATTCAAGTGTAAGCAGTTGCTACTGCTGCTCGTGCTGTTGCTCCTATTTAACCTCCTGCTGCTGCGGCTACTTCCCTGGCGGCGGATTATACTTCGGCTCATTGAAATTGGTGCACAACCCATTCCTGCTGCACAGCCAGGCTGCTTGTCAGCCAGGCCGTAATGCTGCTCCTGCCCCTCCTCATCTTCCTCTTTCTGCCGTAACCTCCCCTGTTGCTGCATATGCCAAATCTGCTGCCGATCCTGCTGGGCCAAGGGAGGAGCTTGAAAGCCTCTTACCCCACACAAGGAACAAGCAGGGACCATTGCAGGGCTCTCTGGCTCTTCCAATGAATCGTCGTCCTCCATCGCACACCACTCCACCACACTGTCATGCACCGTACCCTCTTCCACCGCACACCCAGTCACCGCACCCCCGCTCAACACACGCCTGTCCATTTTCTCCCTGCCCGCTGCAAGCTCAGAGAGCTGCCCCCAAGACAATGCAGGCACCCTTTTGCTGCTGCCGGGCAGGTTCGAAGAAACCTGAGCAAACTCAAGAACCTGCAAATCAGGCGCACTGGTGCCATTCCGAGCCAGCAGGTTCGGCTGCCTTGCCTGACCTGGATGTTCTTCCTCGGTGCAAAGGTTTTCAAAGGGAGGAAGGCCTCGACGGGCGCGAAGGGAGGGAGTGAACGAGGAGGAGTTTGAAGCGGTCAGGTGATGAATGCAGGTAGATTTAACGTCGATGCTGTTGGCACTTTTGGAAGGTTTGACCCTGCCTCGGAGAGTAGATGAGTTGCGAGTAGTGTTTTGTCTAGAACGAACTACACTGCTGCACTCCATGGAGCGGCACTGTGCCGTGTTGTGATGATGCTCATAAAGAGAACCACACGAAACGGACTTATGAGCCGGAATTGCTGGTGGTGATAATCCTGATGCTGATGTTGCTGGAGGACTGTAGCATGGGATTTTTGTAGAAATTGCAGTTTCTGTAACAGTTGCACTGGCGCTGGGATTCGAACCCGCGACCACCCCAGGCGCCGCCTCAGAAGCAGAGCGCTTGAAAGACGAGCGGACGGCGGAGAGGAACCGAGGGGTGGAAGGAGGCGGGGGACTCACGGCGGAACCTGTATTTCCGCCACTCCACGCGTTCTCCAACCAATTGCGGGGCATTTCCGCAAACTCCTCTTCCGCAGCAGCGCGCGCCCTAGGCCGGGTCGACTCTGAGGTTGACCTCCACTGGCGGAAGGACAAGCGCGGAGTTGTCGGCAGCCCTCGGCGAGGTGCCACCAGCCCCGCTGCGCCGTCCGCCAGTTCCGCCCTGATTTGGTTGTCCGCCAGATCCGACGCCACACTTTCCGCCAGCGCGCTCCAAGCGTTTTTAGGTTCGACAACCAACCCCCTCGGAGTGAGCGCTGGTGTTTGCGCTGGCGTTTTGCTACCAAATAAATCAGATCTGGGAGCTTTAGGTACCGCATTACACCGAGGAGTTAGTGATTTCCAGCTCTCTCGCCATCGCTTCGCTCCAGACGCCGCCGCCATCGCCGCCGCCGTAACCGCTCGCTCTTCCGCCTCGAGCTCCGCCGCCGCCGCCGCTTCCCACAGCGAATCGATGTCCACCGCAGAATCCGGCGCGCCGCCACCAAGGCCATTCGACTCCGCCATTTCTTCCGCCTCTTCCCCCGCCTCTCCGCTCCCCGGTTCCTGCCGCTCTCCCCCCTCGTCCTCCCCCGCCCCCTGCGCCTCGTCGTCGCCGTCGCATGCGGGGATCGCTATCGACATGGCGCGCTTCCACGACGAGGAGCCCTCCGCGCGACAATCGGCGAGAGAAGTGGTTTGAGAATCGGCGTTAAAATCGGCGTGAGAATCGGCGTGAGAATCGGCCTTTACGGAAGCAAGCGCGAGTGGGGGAATCGCGGCCGCGGAAGTGGCGGGGGGGGTGGGCCCGACACGCAAGTCAGCGTGACTACTACGGGCGGGAAACGAAGAAGCGGAAGAGGCTGGTTTTTTAGAATTCTCGGAAGCATTTCTAGTTAACGCGGAACATGCGGAGGCGCCGGCAGCGGATGACGTGGAAGAAGCGGATTGGTTAGCACCGGCGGATGTGGCAGAGGATGCAGAGGAGGAAGCAAAGGAAGCGGTAGATGCGTCGTGGGGGGAGTCCACAGGGGCAACGGGGGCAGAAGGGCAGAATACGGCGTAAGCGCTAGTAGCGGCGCGAGAGGCGGCGGCGGAAGACGCGGTGTACTGAGGGGAATAACTTCGTGTGGTAGCTTCAGACGAAGAAGGTTTCCGCAACTTGAAAGCGAACGCTGCCGTCCAACCTCTCATGCTCCGGCGGAACGCAACGATGGCGCGTGGAACGGGAGAGGTGGCGCGTGGAACGGAGGATGCGGCGGAACGACGGCGGTTTGCGGGCTTCAAGCCTGTAGACGACAGGAACGTGGACGCCACGCGCCTCACACGCTCCGCGACTCGGGCTGTGCTTATCCGCATGACAGCCGCTGTCTTTTTCAATCTCTGGTAACCCTCTCGTCCCACCTCCGCGAAGCGCGCCGCTGGGCTCTGATTTTTGTAATTCGACATTTTTTCGCGCCGGAGCGTACTACGTGCTGTTCGAGGGGGGATACAGTTTCGACTACAACTGGTGTTAAGAAGTTATCGTCTTATTAGAAGAGCTTGAAGAGCTTATTATGAATATTGGTCGCGTGGCATTCAACGAATTTGGGTAAGTCAGGAAGAGCCTCCAAATCACCGCGAGTTAGCGAACCGGAGCCTCAGGACGCGTCTACTCCCAGCAATGTATCAGGATCAATACCACTCCCCCCACGAAACCCTACAACTATGTAAGGGCGTGTAACATTGTACCGACCAACCGGAAAAAACGACCTTTGGGCGGTTCTGACGATTGCGAACTATTTGGGGTTACACCCACTGATTAGCATTACGTTGTAGTCACTCTGACTGCAGAACATTTTTCGGTGTGATTGATATTAAATTCTGGATCACGGTCGTACGCGACTCGTACCAGGGTTGGGGATTTAGTGTGTGACATGCAGTTATTTCCCCCGAAGTTGTTTCGGGAAGGACTATGAACTTGCTAAACACTACTGTCTTTCCGTGCCCATGTTTTTCATACCCCGTTCGAATGCTGAACCTTGGATAACATTCAACTATAATTACGGGGGTAGTTTTGGGTGGTGCCCCACAGCATTGCGAACAGAATGGTCGTTCCTTTCGAAATGTGTGGCGGGGTTCGTTCAAGCGTTACACAATTCGCATTCGCATGACCCAACAATTTGGTCGGATTTTCGGCTTGGTCGATACAATGTTACACGCCCTAAGAGAGATTAGGAACGAGTGTCCCTTTACGTGTGGGGGATGGAGCGAGTACACACGATGTCCGTTTGACTAACCCAAGGTTGCCTTGTGAAGGGGGCGCTTAAGTGATTCATGCATTTCGTGGAGGTTTCGTCAATTCGCATCGGGCAAAAAGGGCTTATAGCAAAATTTTGTAACTCACCGTTGACTGTTTGACTTCGGTCTCTTCTGTTTCTGTGGTTCGTATTGGTTGACGTGCTTGTAACGTGGGTGCAACTGCCCGGGAAAAAACCTTCGTGTGCAAGGTTTCTGGAATGTACGAGTCAATTTCGCGTGCAGGGGCTGGGCATCTTGTGTATGCAGCATTTTCCCCCCCATGCTTTCCCTCACCGTTATTTCGTCCTCGTGGGTTCTGCAGCATTCATAACGGCGAACACTGTCTGATCATGTTGTTTACGTAAACTATTCACATGCGTGCTTCGGACTTTCAGCTGACAAACAAGCTTTGCATGGATGCATCCATTCTGCTTCTGTTGCGCGGGCACTAGGCAGACATAAACCGACCGCGGAATTGACTGCTTCACCGAAGAAACACGTACGGAGCGGATGAATGCAACAGTGTTACTGTACGTGCACAGAGCTCGAATGCACGACAGGGTGGGTCTCCTGAGCCGTAGCTCAACTTGCTGAATTTGCGTGTCGAGGAGGAATCGAGGCCCACAGTGGGGAGGGGAGGAGGAGACACTGCCCGAGGCAAATTGATGAGAAGGCCGGAACAGAAGGCTGAAATGAAGGTGCTGGAAGGCGCGCAACGCGCGTCTGGTTCAGGGCTACAAGTGTTTCGGGTTATAGTCCGACGGGTTGAGACGTCGCGCGCGAACTGTATGCCGAAACTTTCAAACCCCAGGCAAAACGCGATTCTTATAGTCCCTTTCAGGAAAAATGCATAAACAGTGGTTTGTTTGCTACTAGTTTTTGCCTTTCATCTTTTGCTTAGATTTGGACCGCGCTTGCTTCAACTTCTCGTCGCAACGGTTCAACGCGCTGAGAACTTTCGCATGGCCAACGGGCAGAACAAAACAAAATAAGTTACGGTTTGGGGGTCGAAAGAAGGTAATAACTTCTGTTTTACCCTGAAAACGAGATAAATGTGATGTCATCGTGCAATGATACGGTCACGCCTCAAAATTTCCCACCAAAAATGGGACTATAGGGGTGGGGACAACCCTAGGCAATTTCGGAAAATTCTACTCTAGATGGAAAATGGACTCATCTAGCAATGGCCTTTAACCGGGAACATCTGTATTTGCCTTGTTTACCCAGCGCAGTATGACTCGGCGGCAATGATCTGACGGCGAGTCGTTCAATTGACTTTGAAAGGTTGATTCTGGTGCGCAATGTTCTAAAACGGTGAAAGCCAAAAGGCATCCCTAGACGTGATTGACCGTCGTAAACCGCGTCAAACGAACCTTGAAGGAGAATCTGACCCGCCCTGACACGCTCCACTACAAGGTGGAGAAATCTCCTCGAATTCTGGAAGACACATACAGAAGAAGGGAAAAAGGGTATTTAGAACGTGATTTGGAACATTCCCTACTAGTAGCTTCAATACAGTACCAACATACGAGAAAAAAACTAACACAATATGGACTGGAAAGAAACATAGCTAGATTGTTACAATTCAGTTGGTTCTGTAGCCAGCGTTTTGTGTAAGTATTGTTAGGTAAATGTAGTGGCGCTACTCGGAATGCAGGCTAATGGAGTTAAATTGACTGGAGTGGGATACATATTACATCCCGACTATTGTAGTGTATACTACCACCTTACATCAGCCAATCAAGGTAACATCTATAGAAGACACCTGTCAGCCAAGCCGCAGGGGCTTACCCTTTCTCCTGCCTCAAAAATCACATCAATTCACATCACCTCACTCCCACTGACACCATGTCGTTGAGAGAATGTCTCGCCACCTCCCTCACAACCGACCCGCTGATGCTTGTTTCTCGCAAACCGCGGCACATACCGCACCACAGTTGCTGCAGCAGCACCACCACTGCCACTACTCCTCGCTCTCTCAAACCGGCCCCTGCCTGACCCCCTCGGGGTAACCAACCCGGACTCACTAGGCTGTTCTGTAGAAGCCAGCAACCAGGTATCGCTGCTCTTGCTGCTGCTACTGCTGCTGCTATGGCTCCTGCTGAACACTCTTCTGTGGCTGCTGCACTGGTGGTGACTGTTCCTGGTCATTGAGAGGGGCATGCAACCCATCGCTGCAGCACAGCCAGGCTGATTCCTCGCCAGATAATCCTGCTCTTGATCCTCCTCCTCTTCCTCCTCCTTCCCTTCCTCCCCTTCCTGCTCTTGCTTTTCCCAACCCTTCTCCAGCCGCTGCTGCTGGTGCTGTGTGTGCAGGTGCTGCTTTTTCTGCAGATGTTGATGCCACACCTTCCCCTGGTGCTGCATGTGCCATTCATGCTGTTGATCCTGCTGGGTCAGAGGAGGGGCTGGGAACCCTCCAACCCCACCGAAGCAGCAAGCAGGGGCCATGGCAGGGCTTTTGAGCTCTTCCCAATAATCTTCCTCCACCGCACTCCACGCCTCCACACCCCCCTCCCCTGAACCGCCATTCACCACACCCCACTCCACCTCGCCGATTTCTACCACACACCCCTCCATCTTCCCCCTCTCTTTCGCACCCCCTTTGCACCCCCTTGCTGCCACAGGCCTGTCCCTTTCCAGCCTGCCTGCGGCAAAATTTGAAAGATGTTCCCAAGTCAGCTCAGGCGTCCCTCTGCTGCTACAGGGCACGTTGAAAAAAGCTGGAGTTGGGGTTATCTCAAAATTCATCAAATCAGGTGCGCTGGCGCCATTCCGAGCCTGCAGCTTCGCCTGCCTTGGTTGGACTGGCTGCTTCTCCTTGGTTTGGAGGTTTTCAAAGGGTGGAAGGCCTCGGCGGGAGCGAAGGGAGGAAGTGGAGGATGGTGTTTTTGAAGCGGATAAGTCGTCGTTAGATGAGAACTTAAGGTCAGCGCCGCTGAAACTTCTGGAAGGTTTCATCCTGGCGTGGGGTGTAGATGGAGTCGTCGTAGCACGTTTGCTCCACTCAATTGTTACATTGTCGCGGTGCTGCTCATAAGGGGGACTCCAAGAATCGGCCTCACACGCCAGAACGCCTGTTGGTGAATATTTCGACGGCGCCATTGCTGCTTCTGGATTTTCGCCTGAAAAATTCGTCGAAATCGCAGCAGCTGTAACAGGTACAATAGCGATAACAGGATCCCGTACAGTAACAACAGGAGTTACACTGTCCCTCGGATTCGAACCCGCAACCACGACAGGCACCACGTCAGCAGATGAGCGCCTGAAAGACGAGCGTAGAGCGGAGAGGAACCGAGAGGTGGAAGGAGGCGGGGGGCTAAGGGCGGAAATTGCATTTCCGCCACTCGCTGCGCCGTCCAATATGTTGCTTGAGATGTGCGCTGGCCCCGATGCACTGTCCGCCAGCTCCGCCCCGCTTAGATCGTCCGCCAGCGCCGACGCCAGATTTTCCGCCAGCGCGCCCCGACCCTTTCTCGGCTCGAGAACGAAAACCCTAGGAGTAAGTACCGTCGGTGTTCGGCTTGGTGTCCTATTAGCACCGGAATTTTCAGATCTCGGGGTTTTAAGCGCTGCAGCCATCATCGACCGGCTAGTAGGCGTCGCTGCTTTCCAGCTTCCTCGCCACCGCTTCGCGCCGGCCGCTGCCGACGCCGCTGCCGCCGCCGCCGTAGCCGCTCGCGCTTCCGCCTCGAGCTCCGCCACCGCCGCCGCTTCCCACAGCGAATCGATATCCACCGTAGAGTCCTGCGCGCAGGCGCTCAGGCGATCGCACTCCGCCAGTTCCTCCGCCGCTTCCGCCGTTTCCCCCGGCTCTTTCCCCGCCACTCCTCCTTCCGAGTCGGCCTCCCGCGCCTCTCCGCATGCGGGGATCGCTATCGACATGGTGCGCTTCCAAGACGCGGAACCATCGTCGAGGGAAGCGGCGTGAGTTGCGGCGTGAGTTTCGGCGTGAGAATCGGCCTCTTCAAAAGCAGGCGGAGAGAGGGCGAAACCAAAGTCGGAAGCGGCGACGGCGGGGTTGGTGAGCAAGTCAGATTTATTACGACGTGCGGAAAATGAAGGAGCGGAGGAAGAGGAAGAGGTGTTTCTAGGTAATGAGGAACACACGGAAACGCTGCTGAATGACGTGGAAGCAGCGGATTGGTTAGTAATGCAGGCGGAAGCGAAGAAAGGGGTGGATGCGGCGGTGGAGTCTACTGCGGGGCCAGCTAGCGGCGGAGAGCTGCTAGCTGCGCGAGAGGCGGCGGCGGAAGAGGAAACGGCGCGATTGGCATTGGCGGACTCGGTCGAGGCGGCGGTAGACGCGGTGGAGCGAGGGGAACCACCGCGGAAGCAAAAACGCGGCGGAAGAAGCGCGGAAGGGAAGACGCGGAAGGGGAGACAGGGGCTTGCGTTGAAAGGACTCGCACGTCCCCATCGGCTCCGGCTTTCGCGGCCGTACTCCGTCGATGCTGCTGCCGCGGCTTGAGGGGTTCTTGCGCATGTGACAGGGGAGGCAGCACGGGGGACGACGGATGATGTCGATACGGCGGAACGACGGCGGTCGACGCGCTTCGAGCCTGAGGATGGCAGGAATGCGAACGCCACGCGCCTCAAACGCTCCGCGGCGCGGGCTGTCTTCGTCCATGCGACAATCGCCGCTTTTTTCACTCTCCTGTAACCCTCTCGTCCCGCCTTCTTGAGACGCGCCGCTCGACTCGGGTTTGGGTAATTTAACATCTCGAGACGCGAAAAAAAAAAAAACGTTTTTTCAACGCGTTCGGAGGGTGCACAATGTCGACTACGAAGAACTACTGGCAAATATGACGAAAAATACTAGAAAGGCATCAGGGGGGTCGTCCACCTCATGACTTTAGTAGGATCTTATCATGGACGTCGAGCGCCGAAAGGACAACTATTGTTGCTCCCTCGAAACCCCACAGAGGCTTGCTCTGGAAAATTGAAACGTAAGCGCAACACATTTGAACAAAGGGCAGTCCACAGCGTCGGTATTTTCTCCCATTCCCACGTTCAAACGTGTACGTACGTGTATCGGACCGACTCTTGGCTACGATGCGGTGCGATGCGATGCCGCGTACGTACGGGGGACGGCCCCCCACGCACCTTTCACGAAACCCAGCGCCGAGTGCGAAAATGTCACTCCAGGCAGGAGGGGAGACGAGTGTCATGTCCAGGCCTCAGGATTGCAGGGAATTTTACCTTGCTTAGCCTGATTTTCAGAAAAGTTTTTGGTAACAACACTGTAAATACAGGATTCAAGGGTTCTACCACCCTGCCACGATCAGGCCTCGTGAATTTTCGACCCTTGTTTTGCAGTTGTTGGTTCGTGTAGCACACTGCCTTGGCCGAGTTCGGTAGTGGCAGCACTCTGAGTTTTTTTCCCTTAGCCATTCAAAAACTGGCAAAGTCCTTGCCACAAAGACACACACACATTCACCAGAACAAGCATTGGATGTGCTCGAAAACTGGCTAAGTACTTTTCACTGAGACACCCACACACACACCGCGTCAAGCATCGCACGCGCTCGGAAACTGGCTAAGTCCCTCGGAAACACACACAGAGGAACCGCTGCAGCCTAGTTTTTTTTCCCCACCCTGCCATACCAGACCAGAAAATATTAAACACCCTGCAATTTCTAGGGTACGACGCGGAAGCCACACTGCAGTGGCAGTGTGACTTCGACCTGGAACTTCGATTCGACAGGGTGGCCCAAAACGAATCAAGACCCCTGGTCATGTCATGTGATGTGATACGCTGAGACACAAAGCAGTTTGGCTGACTTGGAATTTGGCGTGTCGTCGTGTCGTCGTGCGTGTAATTTGGCTGTGCTGCTGCACTGTCACGAACCTACGAGATCCATATGAACAGTGCCGAAGCAGTGCAACACCACAGTGCTTCTCGCGGGCAAAACAACGCGTTCAGTGTTTTCTTTTGCGCGTCTCGCCTTCTCCACGTCGAAGCTGTCCGACTGACCGATGGCTATTCATTTCGGTCACCCTGGTCGTCGTGTTTGTTGGCGACAGAGTATTTCAGAATCGCGCATGAGTTTCCACCACCGCACCATTCTCCTTCGCACCATTGCCGTGTTCTCGATGTGAAAAGGTTGAAGGGTGACATGCGCAAACCACACGCACTTATTTCTCCAAATGAGACTTCTGCTTTCGCATTTTTTCTGCTGCAGATTCCAGCAGACTGTGTCGCGGCTTGAGAAAAGAAGTCCTCAACCAATAGACAACTGGTTGGGCAGGCAGGGAACTTTGCACCGAAAACTTTCCCGACATACAGTAACTTGTTGACAGGTATCTGACCAGTATTTCTCGCTGCGGTCGTGTCGAACTTGCAGAAACCATTCATGAGGATTTTCATCACGACTCACGACTGACCTGAAATCCGCGACAATGCACATTCCGCGTCATTCAAAGTGATCTGCGATGAACCTTCTCAAAGTATAGTTGTCCTTTTTGGAGGTTTCTGTGAGTATGGATTTTGGCTCTTTCTGCACATCTCACTGCCCTGGAAATCACATCCCCCAAGAAAAAGGTTGGTTCGGATCCAGTTGCGTACACGTGACAGAATGTGGTTAAGGTTACACAGTCGGTGCTCATTTCAAGAACACCAGGTAGGCGGGCGGCATGTGAGTGAAACGAGTTCTAGACACTTCGCCGCATTCGCCCTTGTCGCCACGGGCAAAAATGTGATTGTAAAATGAAATTGGAATGTGAAACGAGTCTAGGGGTTTAAGTTCGTAACCAGGTAAACACGTCTGGTGACGGGCAGCCGTTGTTGTTTATGAACTGTAGATGTTTTTCTTCCTCGACTTGGTGACTGTACCCCGAAATCAGCACAATCACCACTCACAGGCAAAACGTTCGCGAGTGACTGATTTTCTAATTGTGAGGAGCAAATTCTTGTGATAGGCTGAGCATCGACTGTATTAGGTCGTAACCGACACGTGACAGGATGTGACACCGATACCGTACTGTCACACAAAAATCTACCAATTTCTGCATGTAGATCCCCAAAACAAGTGGCAGCAACTCCGTGTTCTCTCAACAAAACGTACTGCTTACATCAGAAAAATATCTTCTAGTCTGATCATAGATAGATTTCAAGAAACTACTCTGCATTTGCCAACACATGCTGTTCAATATCACAGACACTAGTAAGTCTGCAATGGCCACCAGCACACTCTGGGATGGAATAAACATCACTCTTTGAGCATGTTTGCCCTGCAGATGCCGCGTGCATCTTAATATCCGTCCTGTGTAAGAAAAGCCATACACCTAATCATGCTGGCTGGCACACTCTCAAGCAACACACTTTCATGCCTATTTCCTAACACCCTTCGAGATCCTCTACTGGACAGCAGTGCTTCACTTCTCTTCGACCTGCAGCATTTCAACCCAGAATTATCCAAGGGATTTGTGGCACAGCACAGCAGCGACATGTCAGATGAGGCAGTCAGCGCAGCCATGCCAGGCCCGTGCGAGGAAAACCACCACAAACATACAGAGCTTATAAGATGCAATCAATCGCACACAGGAGCTTCATCACAACACCACGCAACACAACCTACATGATATACCGTACCAGCAAGCAACCTGAATGTCAATTGAACTCGGGGCAGTATCCACTTACACGTACTTCTGTGACTCCTCAAAACCTATACTCCATCCCCTAGATACCAGACTAAGCATCCAACAACCAGTAAATCAGCATCACGCGCAGCAGGGCTCCATAACTGCTTCCTTACTTACGCTCCAGCTTGCCCTCCAGGATCCCAGCAATAGCCGTCAGCACGGGCATCTGCACTCGGTACTTGCGGGCGAGCGAGATCACGGCGATCACCACACAATCATCCACCAATCGCCCAGCCAGCCCATATGTCTCACCTGCGGAAGGCTCATGAGCTCCATGACTGCCTCTTTAGGCTCCAGCTTCCCCTCCAGAATCCGCGCCACAGCCGTGAGCACGGGCATCTGCACGCGGTACTTGCGGGCCAGCGCAAACCCAGCAATCATCCAGCAAACACACAAAGGCCTCACCTGCGGAAGGCTCATGAGCTCCATGACTGCCTCTTTAGGCTCCAGCTTGCCCTCCAGAATCCGCGCAACAGCAGTCAGAACCGGCATCTGCACGCGGTACTTGCGGGCGAGCGAGATCACGGCGCCAGACGTGGCGACGCCCTCAGCCACCTGCGTCATGGAGGAGAGGATGTCCTCCAGCTTCTCGCCCGACCCCAGGCGCACGCCCACCGTGCGGTTGCGGGACAGGGACACAAAGCACGTCAGCATGATGTCGCCCGTGCCGCTCAGCCCGGCCAGCGTGGTAGGCTTGGCTCCCATCTGTGTTGTCATTGGGAGGGGGTTAGGGTTGCGGTGGGGTAGGGGGAGAGAGAGGCTCACAAAGCATGTGAGCGTGATTCACACGTGCTGCTCAACCCTACCAACGTGGTGGGGTTGGCACCCATCTGGGTTGGGGGAAGGGGGGTGGGTGGAGGGTGGGGAGAGGGTGTGGAGAAGAGGGAGGTTCATGAAGCGCGTGGTGAGATTGACTTCCTATGTGTCAGTCAGGCATGTTTGAGTGGTGGAGGGGTTTTGGGTTGGGTGGGTGGGGTGGTGGTAAGGTGGAGACCCCAGTAAAGGGTTGAATGGAGGGAAAGGCGTGAGGAAACCCCTGAGTATGCCTCCTTTCAAGCCCTCCGTCTATGCATCCACCCCATCCACTTATCCACCCGTCCACCCACACATCCTGTCACGCACCTTCTCTGCGAGCCACCGGATTTCGGAGCACCCCTGAGCGACCAGCGCAGCCATGCAGTTGTTGCCCAGCTGCATGCCCTCCACTATCCCCGCTGCTATCGCCAGCACGTTCTTGAGTGCGCCCGCCATCTCCACCCCCACCACGTCACTGAGTAAGGGAGACAGAGGGACAGGGATGAATAGCCGGGAGACAGTCAGGGAGGGATAGGGCGAAAGAGGGGACAAGGTATAGTTAAGATACACCACGAGGTGCAGTGAGGTCGATAATAATCTCCTAGTTGACTTTTGAGTCGACTCAAAGGTAAGAGGTGAGCTCCTCCCAGATACATGCCCTCCACTATTCCCGCTGCTATCGCCATCTCCACCCCCACCACGTCACTGTGTGGTGAACAGGTGGGCGAGAGAGCAAGGGATTAGGGATCGGGATAGGGACAGCACAGGCAAGTCAACTCTAGGTGCGATACGCACTTACATGACGAGGCAAATAACAAAAATGCGTAGGTACATGGATACGCATTCACACAGAAGGAATATACACGGAGACACCAGCTCGCATAAAGAACATTCATAGATCCGCGAATAATGCTATGGAACATACAAGGAGAACACTTAGATAATGAACATCTATACTTAGTCGGACATACACAAGGAATTCACATGGACACGCATGCGCACGTACGTGGTGGTGTTGACTCGCAGAGTTTTCGATGCCAGCAGCTTCTGTGCCCTCTTCGCCAGAGCCAGGTCCTTGCTGGCCGCCACCAGGGCTGAATAGGGGGACGGAAGGAGGGGGCAAACGGGGTGGGGAAGGGGGGAGCGCTGAGAGCTGAACACGCCAGCAGCTTATGCGCCCTCTTCACCAGAGTCAGGTCCTTGCTGGCCGCCACCAGCGCTGATGACGGGAACGGGGGGGAGGAAAGGGCGGAAAAAAGGGGGGGGATGAGCATGAGGACGGG